TACATATCCCTCTGCCTCTGAAGTCACACAACATGCAGTGATCTTTTATATGTCGTACGTACTTCAGAGCTTGATCGTCAGCTTAAACTCCACTTTGATGATAAACAGGAGATCTACAAAGTATATTCCGTACCCATGCTGCATCCAACCACTCGCGGCACATGTAATGCTCGACATCTCCCAAGCTCTGGATCGCGCCACTCAAACAAAAAGGAAGCCTTGGGCTTGGACCCTTGAGCCTTTTTGATGTTTCATTCAACTGCCGCCCATTCACTCCCAGAGTTGCAACTCCGACACTCCGAGCTAGCGCAGATACACCCACAAATGCAGTTTCAAAATGGGACCATATATTCCTGCATGTGCCGTGCCTGAAAATCCCAAATGCACATTGATGCATGGCCGTCTCCATTGACCTTGACTCTGACAAGCTTGGCCTATCTTAATCTCACCGGGAACATTCGGAAATATCCGTGATCTAACCGTCTACAGTAACCCAACACTTACATCACTCGAAGTCCCTGATGAGCATTGCGGTAAGAGCGGGAACCAGCTCTGATAACCAAACCCCACCGAGCTGTCAATGCCCGTGGCATTGTGATAGGTTCAAAGCGGAGGTAACCTTGGAAGGCTAAGACCAAACATAAGATAAGGTCTAGGCCAACGAGACACAAGCTGATGATTATGGTGCCTTACGTGGCCCACATCTGTGTACGTGTTGCGGGTAATATGTATACATCGTATGAATGTTAGCACTCGGCTTGCCTTGCTCCCCAATGATTGTGCAAGCCGAGCACGGGCTCAGTCGGGAAGTCTTCCAAACTTGGGCGGGCATTTCCGCTTCACCGGATCGGAATCCCGATTGTGTGCCGATTTAAGCTCCCCGAGTGTATGCGATGGTAGATAGTTGCCGTGGCTTTTTTATACTAGGCTTCCCGGTGTGATAATTTAGGCTAAAACTTGATTTTTATTTTTTTTTTTTATCTTTTTTTTTTCCCTTGACAGCGCCACCTCCTGGGTAAGAATATTCATTTCCATGGTGTGCGACCTGCAGTAATCTAATATTTGGATCCAACCTTGGAAGCCTACCATTTTGCTTTACAGGTCTAGAATCATCAGTTCGAAGGCATGCCTTTAGTCCTCTAGAATGCACTAAACAGTCCAGGGTCAAAGCTATCTACAAATTTTCAAGGATTTTCTTACGGCCCCACCCTGAGTAGATCACCGACGGTGAACTTTTGCAGATGCTCCATATAAAATTGGTAAAATTGGTGAAATTCATGAAATTCTCGGTGAGTTCCAGAACTTCAACTCGGATTGCATCATGCCGAAGAAAAGTTAATATTGTGGATCTCTTTGTTTACGCGTACAGATAAACTTGGAAGTACTCCAATACATGTATGTTGTAGATAGAGACATGTAATTATTGAAAGACATGTCGTCATTGTGAGTGACTCACTCGGTATTTCCAATTTTCGTTTCGACTATCAGATTAGGTAAATATAAATGCAGCCATGTTCCATTTCCGCTAAAGAGCAAATCAGTAAACGCCTCAATCAGCCCTGAAGCCCAGCTTATCACTTCGGTTAATATTTTCGAGATTGCCAGATAAGAAGCACGTCTTCGTGTCTTTGCCTACCAATAATAATTGCTAGATCCAGATATCGTGAAAGATATGACCCACCCAGGAAAAATCCCGAAAGAAACAGCGCATCAAAAAAGACCATTAAAATCTGATGATTCCGATTCGATAAGCAGTGGGCTAGCGAAGACAACTATTGCCTCCATCCAAGCGCAGCAGTGCTAGGAATCCTTCGGTAGTTCCGATGCCGAACATACCTAAGTAGGTTACGGCTGCTATCTTCCGGTGATCGCCAGGGGCGAGGGTGCAATGTCTAGAGCGGGAACTAAAAAAGATCGCGTGGATCGACCGCCAAGATCAACGGCAAAGAATTTTCGCGCTTGCAAGGGCCTTGGGCCAATTGTACGCCGGAATCAGTCCACATGCTTGGGCAGGGTCTTGTTTCGGGGCTTTTTGGTTCGGGTTTTCCCGTGGTCTAGATCTGGCGTATACAACATACAACACTGACTTCATACAACATACTCCGTACATTCAATAATAAGGATGCTCTTATATTCTAAACATCAATCATTTCTAAAACTGAAACGTCTGCAGTTCTAAGACAAATTTGGAGGCGTCAATATACGGAGGAGATCGCCCGGAAATGTCAAAAATCGGCCATGTCGCAGCGACTGACGAGCGCTGTTCGAGCTAAGGAAACACTTGGCTACACCCGGCTGCTTAGCTTGCAATGAGAGATGGTTTTCCGTTTCACTCAGCAGGCTTTGAATACCGTTATGGGTATGTAGCCTCGGCTGTGGAAGTAAACAGTCCAGCGCAAGCGGCCTCGAATCCAGAATCACAATGCCACCTCGGCAGCAAGGATATATGCGCAGGCCGGACACGTGGAAGTGCAGCTTGATATACAGATCATCAGAGTGTGGCTTTATTTTCCACAATGGAAACAGCTTCTCCGACCTTAAGGATTGAGTTCACGGCTCAAGAGCTACCTAGGTAGCTTCTGTTGGTGCCAACAATGTTCCAAATTCAGGTATATCATGCTACTAGTAGCAGCCGTAAAGAATGGCTCTTCCGTCATCTCTGCGACAACCACAGCTAAATCAGGCAATTTGTTGTTGCCATATGTAAATATATTTGGTAAACATGAACAAAAAGTATGGCACTCCAAGACATGTTGCCCGAAACCGGCGTCGTGATATCAACAAGTGGAAACATGGCACACGACACAATAGAACTAAGCATTTAACATTATAGATAAACTTCCCGGTCGACCGGCTCCTACATCTAATTTGTGGAGTCATGACGAGAATATCGGAGTGGGAAAAGTCTGAATTGGGCTTTCGTCGTAACTGTACCACCTGGTTTCCGTTTTTGGTTAGCGCTTTCGGCCTCGACCTTGGTGAGCTTAACCTAACGATCGGCGATTAAGGTTTGTCGGGGTAGACTTCGATTCCAGGCGTCGAGCTAAATATAGCTTGCTAGGACTTGGTGGTGATGTCAGTAGAGCTTTGGAGGGACCGACGGATACCATTGAATAGCATTTACCACTTGTTACATATATCCACCCGATCCATTTGCACTCAATTACGCAACGAGTATATAGTGAAACATGGCTAGAAAGATCCAATGAGCCTGGGCCAAGTATGTATTATGTTCACGAGGATTCACAGTATTAATAACATGGAAAGTGGGAAGAAACAAAAATGTCGAGTCGCAACAGGGCAAGGAAGATATCAGAACCACTTGGGCGGATTTGCAAATCATGAAGACGTTAATCAAGGAAACCTAGAGGTTGAGGGATGTCCGAAATAAGTCGAAGGAGGTGGTAGGAATCGAGTCGCTTCGCCGACACTCTTGGGCCACAGGATCTATAACAGGCACAGCCCGAAAATAGAACAAACAGATATTAAGGACGATGGGGAAAATTTTGGAGCACAACATGCACTCCAAATCAACGTGCCGTGCCATGTTAAGATCTAGCCAAGCGCAGATGCGACCCATAAGACGAAGAGAATCCAGCACCATGGAATTGCATGTCTGGATTGGGACATGATGTTCGATACGAGTCTCGGTCCAGCAAGGGTATCGAATATTGAGGCGGACGTGGTGAAACGATGGCGAGGAAGCAGTAGGTTGCAAGGACGTAAGAAGCCCCTCAGAAGATCCACCCAAGAATGATATAGAGAGCGATACCAGCGGCAATACACATGCCTGCGATCTTCATCACGGCCACAGAATCGCCTTGTTTAGCCATCCGTGTGAGTCGAGTGGCGCTGCCTTTGAGGTTCGTTGAGAAGGAGGAGAATACATCGCTCTAAGAAGGCATGGGTGTCAGTCGCAAGTTAACCCGATCGAGGCGCCAATTTTATGTATATCCAGGAGACAAGCAAAAGTCCTGAGTGATTATCGGACCAGAGAAAGATCGATCAAGACATACCGTATGGTCCAGAGTTTCCTGATCCCTCGCATTGTCATGGATATCGATCGTCACGGACCGGAGGGCTGAGACCTTTGAGGAGAGCGAATTGAGGAGCGCATTATTCTGCCTGTTCCATAGTATCAGCACTCAAATCCAAACGTAGCTCCTTTCGTAGGGGCATCCGATGGGACAAGGTGGAGAAAGGGGGACGTACTGCTCGCGTTCGTAGGCGTCACTCATTTTCGATACTTTTAAGTTTCCCTCGATCCTGTACAGACTATTTATTCAGAGTAATGCAAATCCCGCTGAGATGGGAAGATTGTCACAGAAAGGAGTGAGGCGGAGGTGAGTGGCCAAAAGCTTTCAAGGTTGGAGAATCGGAGCCGACGTCAGCTCCGTGGCAGATCACATGATCGTCGATCTTCGCTATACGGAAATTTACACATTTCTACTTTGTATTATACGTTTGAAGAGGGCAGGGTGAAGGTTAACGATCTTGCGTTGTCCAGGCCACACACATAGCCTGGTGCTATGTATACCATGCTGTGTCCACAGTTGCACATAGTCTCCAACACGCAAATTTAAGTCCCATAATGGGCAGATTGCTCATAAAAAGCCTATGAATTGCTATATTGCAATCGGAAGGATGGATATGCTGATATCTCCGATGATCTTCTGAATGAACATAGAATAGATGTTCAAGTTTGGTGCTTGTGTAGTCCATCTGCCTAGGAAATAATTGCGATTGTATAACTGAGCCCAAAGATGTCCCAACCAAACCCTTACTAGGTCTTAATTGTCTTCAAGTGTTGTTCCTGTTGGGTCTTCTACGGTCAAGCCCCATTGAGTCCAGATAGAGAAATATAGAAGAGAACCCGGGGAAGCTATATTGGACCTTGTATGTATTTTTTTGGACCCACAGCCGTTCCCCGCTTCGGATCGACGTTTTACCCACGTGGAACAGATCAGATCATCACTTTCTACGGTCACGTTATATGCACGATGGGATCAACTGAAGATGAAAGACCATCGAAACGTGCCCGCCAGGCTTGCGAGCCATGTCGGTGAGTGTGAATCTTGGCTGTCCCAAGCTGAGAGCCAATATGAGCTGACATTCCTCCAGCCGGAAAAAGTCGCGTTGCCCAGGGGAGAAACCGGCTTGCTCGTACTGCGAGCGACTAGGCCAACAGTGCGTGTATGCAGGCACCGAGATTGGAGAGGAAGGCTTGGGGTACTCCCAGAAGATGATGGTGAGTTTCATTGACGCCTAGACAAAGGCAGATTCTAATGTGACGTAGGAACAACGCATTTCCGGCATCGAGGGGAAGCTAGAACAGTTGATGGAATATATTACGTGTGTTGTAACTTTCCAGGTATTCTGCTTTATTTGGCTGACTGAGGTCGCAGACGACCTGCTTCACACCACCTCCCCTCGCCAGTTGGCCCCGAGAATAACCCTCCAGTGCCAGAACTTGCACCCCCGGCGAGCTCCTCTATGTGAGTTCAGCTTGAAGCTTGCTTACAGGAGGTCTTTATTGACGAATGAAATAGATTTGGATCATCCGGGATCCCAGATGCTGAGCTCTATTTGACCTTTTGTAACGCACAGCCCCTTCTGTTATTCCCCCATAGATCCTCTCTGGCCTCCCTTGGGAAGCGGGACCCCGAGCTTCTACTTGCAATTGAAGCCCTTGGGGTCCGCTTCAAAGGACTGGGGGTCATTGACCAGGATATACAACTGGAGATAAAGAGGAAAACAGAAAGGGCCTGTCAGATGGCCATGATGCGTTTGGCATCCGGTACTGTGGAGCTATCTACGATCCAGACCCTTTGTCTTCTAAGTATTCTGGAGTTCACAGGTAAAGCAGCCCCGGTCCGTGTATTTGTGTTCATTCCTAACATTGTGCTTCATCTATCCAGCGGGTCACATCATTCGTGCAGGGTCTTATACCAGACTTGCCACATATTTGATGGGAAATCTCAGAATCAATGGCCTAGTGTCTCTGAGCAATTTGGAAACCGAGCGTGATGAGCGCAAGCTCTGCCACGTAAGCCTCATCATGCTTAAGAACCTTCACGGGTCCCTGCATCCACCCAAAGACAGCCTGGACTTACTTGCAGAGCCTGGTGAAATCGTCTCTCCGTTGGGAGCCATGGTTTTCAACAAAGAGATTACCCGTGGTACCAGCAGTGACTCTAAGCCAGATATTGGCATCAATGGTAGCAGTGTTTACACAAGCGAGCTGTGGGCGATGGCATGTAATTATGCCGCTAGCCATGTCGGCGTTGACGCTCATCCCCCTTGGTCTCCAAATTCCGATTATGCAATCATCACTTTCCGTCACTGTGAGCACGAGAGTCTCATGCCACTGAGGTTCCGACTCCATGCAAGTCGCTTCCAAGACTATCCCCCCGCCGAACTTCAGGCTCATCGTGACTATTGGAGCCCATGGCTATTCTTCCAGTTGGTTTGGCATGCGGTGCCTTGTTTATTGAACCATCCCTTTCTGTTATCTATGCGACTTCGGAATTTCCGGAGGACAATGCCTCAGTCATTCCTCCGTAATTCTTTCGAGCAGTTAACCTTCCACTCGGGCTGGGTAGTCCATTTTCTCGAGCTTATTGAGATGAAGAACTTCGAGGTATCTGACCCGACCATAGGACAATGCGTGGCAATAGTTGCTACGATCTATCTTCAACATAGTTTTGTCGAGGACCAAGCTTTCAACAGAAAGGCGCAATCTGGATTTGAGAAATGTCTTAGATTCCTACGCAACATGGGTTGTCGATGGCCACACATCGATCGCCAGGTTAGTTTTCACGCAGTCATTCCTCTGGTGCTCTATTTCTGATATCGCCCCTAGCTCCGACAACTGCAACAACTCCGGGACAGCGTTTCCCCTGGAGGCCTTATGACAGACAACATAGCCCCAGGAAGATCGAATTCTCGCCAGAAGTGGTCTGTGAATTTGCAGCTATTGTGGAAGATCTTAGTATATTCCCATGCAAGCAATCTAACCGATCCTGCTAGCGACATCTTCGGCCCAGAACTTGCTAAAGACAGCGTTGGATGCTCAGGGGACCCTTCGGCTGGCGATATCACCGAACGCGATTTCGCTTTGATTGGATCCGCTGGGATCTCCGGCCACAAGACAGTGGCCCCCGAGTGTGTCACCTACCCACCTGAGCAGACCGAGGATCCCATAAAGACGCCGAGTCAGATCTCACCGAGGATGGAATACCCAGGACTTCCGGGAGATCCTAATATGGAATTTAGCGGTGGTGACACGTTGTTCCTGCAGCTTCAAGATTATGAGAGGGCCTTTGAGGATTGGCTAAGCGTTAACCCAACGTGAGGTCGGGGTTTAGATGTTCGTAACCTATACTCATTGGTTCTCGCCCGGGGAACACGGACCGGGTCCGGCTTTTCCGGACGCCAAGACGGCGCTGGGCCGGCCTACAGCCTCCGCATTTGTTAATACTGGAAATTCTTCGACTGATTGCAGTTTGACGACACTCCCCTAGCTACCAGTCTGTTGTTCAAAATGACCACAGCTAAGACAGACTCAATCCTGATCGTGGGCGCCGGGGTCTTCGGACTTTCGACCGCTCTTGAACTCAACAAGCGCGGATATACGGACATCACCGTTGTCGATCGCTTTGTACCACCATCAGCAGATGGAAGCAGCGTTGACATTTCGCGCATTATTCGCGCCGATTATGCAGACCCGATCTACTCTCAAATGGCCCGGGAGGCATACAATGGATGGACCACCGAGTACAAAGATCAATACTTCGAATCAGGATTCGCATTGTTCTCGGAGACGCCTAAGAACGCATACATGGAGAAGTCCAAGGCTGTTATTCGGGCAGCAGGTGGCAAATTAGACGATCTCGACGACGCAATGGAGATCCGGAAACTCTACCCCAGCGTTCAAGCGGATCTTTCCGGCATGAACGGATATCACAACCCGAAAGGTGGGTGGGCCGATGCCGCAGGCAGCATTCAAAAGCTGGCTTCCAAATGTACCGTGGCGGGTGTTTCTATTATTGCCGGTCCCCGCGGTACTGTTGTCTCTCTCCGCCGGGCGGGATCACGCGTTGTTGGCGTCAACCTTGTCGGAGGGCAGGTGTTGCTTGCTTCACAAGTGATCCTGAGCACCGGCGCGTGGACCAACCGTCTTTTGAATGTGGGTCATGCGGCATCTTCCTCTGGCCAGCCTGTTGGCTTCATTCAGTTGACCGAGGAGGAGGCTCTGGAGATGAGGAAGATCCCGGTCATGATCAACATGAGCTCCGGCGTCTTCTCATTCCCGCCCACACCGGACACAAATGTTCTCAAGCTAGCGCGCCACGGCTACGGGTATGCAACCAATATGACTGTCAATGTGGACGGTGTTCAGAAGTCGCTCTCATCGCCAAAGTTCGAAACCAGCAATGCGGCTACTGGTTATTTACCTGACGACGCGGACGAATCGCTGCGAAAGGGTTTGCGTCAGTTCTTCCCCAAGCTGGCTGATCGCCCTTGGATGAACCGTCGGCTGTGCTGGTACACGGATACCCCTAACGGTGACTTCATTATCGACCACCACCCAACCATCCAGGGGCTGTTCATGGCTACTGGTGGTGCAGGACAGTGAGTTTTTGTCGAAATTAATCTGCACACTATGGCTTCATGCTAATAGCTTTACTTTAGTGGATTCAAATTCCTCCCTATCCTGGGCCAATATATCGCGGACTGCTTTGAGAACAAAGCGCCCGAAGACTTGCGCCAAAAGTGGAGGATGAACGCGCCTCAAGAGGAGACAAAAGGGCCCATGGCAGGAGATGGAAGCAGAGGAGGCCCTCCACTGAGGAAGTTGAGCCCACTTGAACAAGCTAAGCTGTAAATACTAGGTGCTATGATGGTGTCAAGGTACATATGACGATCGAATGTATTTTATCACTGATTATTTGATAAGGAATGTCATCTCTGTCGCTCACAAATGGTCGAATACACAATAAACTTATTATATCTCGTGGGATGGTAGCCTGGACTCTTATCCGATGTTCCTGACGCACTTGATGCCCTTTACTGGGTAAGCGGTGCTAAGATTCATCAAGCAAATGCCCCGGTCAGTTGAGCTAGCCAAACAACCAGCCTGTCGTACAATCAACCTTGGGATCTCTTTAGACTTGACTCGGATTATGTCTTACTGGGCCTTATTCAGGGCTGAATTGAACGTCTCAATGATCCGTATGTGAGTGATATTCATAAAAAAACAATTCTTTGATTAAATATGGGGATCGGCTTGGAGTCTATATATTTTCGAATTCATTCGCTTCCTGGAAGAAACGAAGACTTGCAGAAAAAAAGAAACTCGATCTGGAAATACAACACAGGGCTCAAACTATGTCACATATCCATTACTCAAACATTAGGACTAAGTGGAGCGAGGTCCTTTTCGTCCTCAGGTGCAGCCCTTGTATTAGTGGCAGCCCCCATAGCAAAGCTACCATCCTTACACACAGGCCATTCATCCTGTCGCAGCCAAAACATCTCGTGAGAAGGAGCACCTTTGAGCACTCCCTTCAAATCTAACGGATCGGCAAATGTCTCCCACTGAGAGCGACGGTCGATCCAACCAGGACCCATTCGCTCTGTGCGACCGTCAGGACACAGATAGCGCAGCTTTTGGCGAGGTAGATGTCGACCAGGATGCATCAAGTTGAGCCACCAAGTGAAGAGAAGCATCGGGCCAAGCTCAAATGCATATAGATACCATTCATTGCTGAGAATAGGTCCGCAGTTCTTTCGGCAGCCGAGATTACCAAACATCTCGAATGCCTCAACGGCGCGGAAGATACACCGCAGCAAGACAAGAGTCGATGTTCCGTAGAGTGTGATGCATATCATACGGACATTTGGGGAGAGCATCCGGGCCCGAGAACAGCGGGCGTGGACTGTTGCAACGATCCCGATCACGCAGCATTCGACCACTGCTTGGAGAACAAGCCCCGCAGCGATGAGAGTCCCACCGGCCTTGTACTTGTCCAGATCAGAGCCGGCTGATGCACTCTTGGCTGCTCCTGCGACTGTAATTGCTTCCACGACAGCGCCGACATAGACGAAGAAGATGAGGACGCGGTTGGGGTTGAGGACTGCGTGCATTGGTAAGTAGTTCGTGAGGCGTCCGATGAGGTTATAAGCGGCGGCTGAGTAAACTGGTGGGCCGATGTAGATGAAGACGGTTGATGCGATATAGATGTTTAAGTTTCCTGGATGGTAACTCGATATGCAGCGGAGAATCCAGCCCACGGTGAACAGAGCTCCACCCCAGCAGATGAAGAAGGTGACACGCCAGAATCGGTAGCGGCTGAAGTTGTTAGAATCAACTTTTTGTGTTTTCTGAGATATGTCAGATGCTTACTAGTTTTGGTAAATATGCAGAAATAGAGACGCGCCGACCAAGGCGGCAAAGACAGCTGGTAAGACATGACTTGGATTGTACAAGTAGAGATTTGCCTCTGCGTCCGAGTTATCCGAGGTCATGATGAAGTCCAATGAATTGTGGATGGGATACCAGAATGTTGGGAGATGGGATGCTTAAATACACTCTCATCAACGCGCTGTCCTACACATCATGAAGCGCTACATATGTCTATATCGCGTTAGACTAAGCTGTGATTTATTTCAGCCGCATTGATGTCCACGGGTCCACTCGCTCATAGTTGTGAACTGGCCAATCAGCGGTGCCCAACTCAGCCTTGGGGAGCGCTACATTTGACCCGAAGCGGTTAGACTGCGCAGCCTAAATAACCTCAACCTTGTTGTTTGGGCCTTTTTTGTCTTTTTCCTTTTCAGTGTGACACATTCTGCTTTCGTAGCCTTCTACATCATCCTCTGCACTAAATATACCCGTTCCTGAAGGCCTGCGCAGTCCGTTTTGAGATCCACGCTCCGCTTCCCCACTACGGTCTTCACCCCGCAATGCCGGGTGTTCCAACAGGTCGGGCCTGCGACGCGTGTCGCAAGCAGAAGAAAAAGGTACGTGCGATAATATTATGGCACAGAGCGCTATTCCTGATAAGATATCAAGTGCGACGAGAAACAACCTGCATGTGGACGATGCCTTCGTCTGAAAGTGAGTTGTGTGGGGTCTGGTCAGAAACGATTTCTGTTCAAAGAGCAACAATTTCTCCCAAACTCCAATCAAAGCGGCGAAAAGGCTCTCCTCTCGAGATGGAGACCAACACAGAAAGAAAAATATTCCTTTGAAATACCCCGGGCATGTCCTGGCAACAGTATGACATTGTTGACTAATTCGTTTGTCGGCGCCATAAAACGATCCACCGACCTCCGATACAATGTCTGGTGGTCGTTCGGCATTTTCCTGGAAGATGTACCCCGACGACTCGGGAGTAATGAAGCCCTCGACCGTGCAGTTGATGCGCTGACCACTGCCCACGCAAGCTTCTGCACCCGCCAACCAGTTCGGACTGAGGCGCTAGCCAAGTATTCACATGCTCTCAAAACCCTAAGAGTTTATCTAGATGACCCACTCCAGGCGAGTGCCTCCAATACACTATGTGCCGTGATGATACTTTTAATCTGCCAAGCATTCATTGGAAATCCCGCGCAAATGGTATCTGGACATGCCCAAGGGGCCGCCAGCATTCTGCACGCACGAAAGAACTTTGGGCCACGCGACGACTTTGAGCGTAAATTATTCCTCTCATTACGGGGAAGCGTGGTAAATCCTCCACAACTCCTACCATCTTCTTACACCCAGCTAATCATTCTCCCAAGTTATTCGAGGGTTTATACAACGATGCTATCGACCTCAGCCCCGAGGAGTGGGATGCCTTAGTCGAGAATGACTACGATCAAAATGAACCCGAAGGCCAAATTTTGCGATGCCTAGCACGGGCGCCAGTTTTAATGAAACGCGGCAGACGAGCCATACGTGAAGGCGAAGGTTTAACACCCTTAACAATGGAAGTCCGACCAATATACGAGAAATGCAAATTGATACTGGCCCAATTGAAAGCACGAACAGTCGAACACGAAACGCCGGAGGTCAGCACCATGACAGAAAACTTCGTGGCTAGGATCTTGCGAGCACATTATCTCCGCACCCATGGAATCGGTCTCGCAATCACAATAATTTTCAATTGCATCCTTCAGGCACTGGATCCCAGTGACTACTCCTGTATGATAGAATCAAGGTCTCTTGTTAAAGAGACGCTCGTACATGCCCAGGAGTCCAATGTGTACAGACCGGTTGGAGCAGGATACGTAATAATGTGTCTGTCGGCGGCATGGGCCGTTACTGCAGACCCCCAGCTGCGGCTAATGGTGGAAGCCACATTGATTGACTACCATGGTGATTTTGTGACCCCCGATGGTGTGAACGTAGCCCGTGAGCTGGAACGGGCGAGTGAGAACCTATGGCTGGGATCGACTGCTCGAAAACATGCAATTCCTATCCCCTGAGAATAGAGCTTTGCAAGATACCCATTTACCTTTATTATATTGTTACCAGTATTGATGCCAATTATGAAGAGCGAAGAATGAACACGAAAGGACACTAGTTCAAGTTCAATGGCGTAGACTGCAATCCGAGACCAGGGCTACTAAACAATCCACATCCATCTTTTTATCTTCAGTTTATAACTGGAACCTTTCACTCCAAGCAGATTTGAGCGACGTTATACGTAGTTGTTTGTCACGATACGGTCAATAGAGACGAATAAAAAATACACTGCCCAAACAATTTCAAGGATGAGACTGAGACTGGTATCAAGCCCTCGCTAGGGTCTTACTGAACAATGGTGACAAGAGGTGTCACTATAGTACCAAGGTGGAATACTACCTGGGCAGACTAGTAGGATGTTTCTCTTTTATTGTTCAATTGATCTATTGTATTGTTCCATGTTATTAATATAATGAAAATGAATTGATTTCTATACAGATCATAGGTTTGCCAATTCAACCTCGACAAGCCTTGCATACAAAAGTGAGAGACGCCTGACAAACAAGGCCAGCTGATAATCGGAACAATCCTCAATTGCCATTGTCTTCAGACTCTTCTATTCAATTGCGCAAATCTCCTTATCAACAGATCCCATCTGCTCAGCTTCTTCTCTCTTCCTCTACCTCGCATCTCACCTACTCATGTCTCATCTCAACTTCCTTTCTATGCTTCTCTTGGTCACTTGCCCAGTTTCCATTCATCCATCTAGTGATATTTCATCTTTGTGACAATCTTCTCTTGATCAATCCCCCGACTCTCACATCCCCCCAACTCAGCATTTTGACATTGCCTCTGGCGACAGCAACCATGTCGCTCGTTCTCCTACCCACAGAACTCCTTCTCATGATTGAGAGCCACCTGCATTTCAGAAGCGACCTCAATGCCTTTATTCGTATCTGCCCACGATTTAACCTCATTTTCGAAGACAAACTCTACCAGGACTGTCCACCACACATGCGCGACTGGATTATCCTATGGGCAGCCCAGAAAGGCCTTCATGGCACCATACGCAAGTGCCTCAGAGCCGGCTCCAAGATTTTACGACGAGACAGATTCAAGTCTCATTTGAGAGATCGCGATGCCCCCGAGGCTTTGAACGTCATCCCACGGAACCCCAAACCACACCCTTTGACTGTAGCAGCCGAAGCTGGCTCGCTGCCTTGCGTCAAACTTCTCCTCAAAAAGGGCGTCAATGCCAACTTCTTGGACGAACACTACGAAACCCCGATGAGACAGGCCGCCGGAAATGGCCATGTGGACATTGTTCAGCTGTTGCTTAACTGGGATCCTAAGGCATTCACCGGTGCTTACAAGCTACGACGACCTCTGAAGTATGCTGCGGCTCGTGGCCAATTACCTGCAATCAAAGCTCTGTTCGCTTTCCTTAAGGAGGCCCCTCGAATCCTCACTGCCAAAGACGCTGCACAGATCATCCTGTACGAGGGACTCTGGCACTGCGAAGAAAGTGTTGTCAGATATGCACTCGAAAACGGTGCTGATGTGAATGACGAAGATCCACAGTTTGTGTTCCGGTTTGCTCCTGACCTCCGTCCAGAGGAGTACCCCTTGAGACCCCGAATCAAGCTGGTCCAGTCATACAAGATGGGAGTCGCCATTGGAGGAGTCCTCACTCCTGGCTGGTCAACCCCGACACCAAATGTACTCCACGCTGCAATGATCGGTGATGATCCGAGCCTGATTGAGTTGGTCCTTGACCAAGGATTTGATATTGCTGCTCATTCTGGGCCTGTCCTGCGATACGCCATCTATCGGAGAGACGCCACAGTCATCTCTAAGTTGATGAAATTGGGGGTTACCGTGACCGCCACAATGCTTTATGACGCGATTTGTGAGCGAGATGATGAGCATTGCAAGGAGTTCATAGAGAGGATTGTAGAGGGAATTCGGGAAGAACTCAAACTCCGCCGCACTTGAACTGACTGGTACATTCGTTCTGTGCCACACTGAGAAATCAAGACACATGTCCTCAACAGATCATTTGAGCAATCGCATACTTGCCTCGCATATTTTGTGTTTTTACTTGATTTTTCCTTCTCTCTATCTTCTATCCGGAGTATGAAGATCTCAGGAGACAGCACAAGAGAACGAAAACGAAGAAAAAGAAATGCATTTGAACATTCACGATGGAATTGTCGTTAGAACCCTCTTAGTGGGAGGTTACCACAAGTTTTAATACATAATAAAAACAGGAACTAGCCCTATCATGACGAGCCCTAGAAAGGCTATCGGTTCGTTCATGTAGCAGTAGACGTTGCATGGATATACACGGATTTGATATTGGATCAATAGCCTGCGTAAGTTGTACGCACAGGTCTCATCTGTGAGATGTAGGAGTGTCTGAGACCATCCACTGACATTTACTGCATGCTATTCCTAAACCTATTCCAGTATTTTGATTGACACAGGCTTTGCGTCCTAACCCTCAGGCGATACAAGAAATTTTACCTCAGGTTGTCGCGAATCTGCCGGTTATATCGCTATAATAACTGCCTATATAAAAGAGTGAGTATCACAAAGAGTATCGTTTTATATTTGAATTGTAGACCGTAGCAGGTATATATTTGAATAAGGAAAGCGCAAGATTCTCTACCCCAGAGGTATATCGCAGCCCTAGAAGGCTAGTATGTTTCTCAATCGTACGTCAGATCCCCATTGCGAGTATCGTAGTACTCGTATGCCCGATCCCCTCATTCTGAACCTGTGAAACGACCGTAGAAGTGTTATTAGATTTCATGGCCCTGCGAAGCGGTGATCTTCCATGGGATGGCCGTGGCTCATCAACAGAGATAAACCCCCTTCTACAGTCAACCATTGCATTCATCACCAGGTGGTCCCATGACTGTTCCACAGGAACGAAAGGAGAGCCAAAGCTCCATTCCGCTCGAATCTCCGCAGTATTTCCAGCGACATCCGCCTCGAGAGGTGGTGTGTGAATTTCAACAATGATGGATCCGCCGTACGCGACATTGCGTGCGAGGCTCTCTGCATGAGCTTTTACAGCAACGGAATCGTCATCATGTAAAGAGACTAGTTTACGGATTGTTCAGCTTGACATACATTAGTTAGTATGCATAGGCGAGAGACGAACGACAGCTTTGCAGACTGTACCTCGTTCCGTTGCTGCTGTCACCAAGCCAACCTTGAAGCCAGCCAGATGATGTTGTCGAGAAACTGTCATTGGAATCATCGGACTGCTCCCAAGAGCGATGGTCGTCTTCGTTGCCTGTTAAGAATTCTCCGGATTTGATTTTCGCTTGCTTTGAACAATCAATCCAAAGATCGAAATCGACGACTTGGGTCTGTTCGCCCGCCGAGTGTGTGCCGAGTATTTGTAGGGATATATTTGGTGGAGAAACTAGCTGTGCGATCAGAGAAGCATCAGGGTTATGAATTGTGGATATCATTCTTCTTTGTTGGTTATGTCAAAGCCCGTTGAATGAATGATTTCAAACGGGGGCCCCGCTCACTTATATAATAGGAATTGGACAGAGGTGACGCGTAGTCTACGTAGGAGCCTTGCTGGCAGGGCATGCTGTATGCTTTGTAAAACAGACAAGGATATGACCAGGGCGCGGTGACTGAGTCAAAAAGCGGGACCCTTAAATTTCAGTATGTGATGGCCCCTACTGCTGATAGCCGATCGTCGATCTTAGCCAATCTAGTTACGAATAGAGCCTTGACGGGTTATGGATGTTACCGCTTATTAAATGGTATCGGAGGCGGCTATTCATGTGAACCTTTTCTCAAATACAATACATAGAGACCAGGGAATTCTAGTCTAATATCTGATTGGATAACTATTCGCGTTACTACATTTCGCGCACAATAGTGGCATTTAATGGTCTCCGTTCATTGCTGTAATGGAAGCAAGTCGATTGAATCAAGCGCAGATGGCTCTTTTCCTTGACCTGGAATTACCGGCTGCCACAAATTCACAAAATAATATAGTTCAACTACAGGACCAGATAGGTGATTAAATTGCAAACACTGCAATGAGGGGTTGAGACGTTAGCAGGGTATATATTCCTAGCGCTGTAACAATGTAGGGAAATATACGACTTAGGATAGTGACACGACGGTCAAAGAGCTCCTAGTCTAGGTACTTATTTTTTTCGTATGGAAGTTGTTGTGTAAATTTCTATATTCGAGTTTTGTATGATCAAAAACTGGTTTGTACTCTGTAGTGATGTGCAGATAAGAGGAAAGGAAAAGAGAGAAAGAAGGGGAGAGCCAACACGCTATATGCCTCAGATGCTTTCACATGTTTTGCCCCATAGGCGAATATAGAGATCAGCCAATCTTGGCTCTAAGATAATGTATATTTAGTTATGCGGTTTTAAGGGGTTCTGGAGCTGAGAGACCCTTTTTGGAAGTTTTGTGAGCCAATATATGAGCTATTAATCGGTCTTTTTATAGAACAGTGAATTGTGAGCGCGCAAGTTTACTTCTGGCTCTCCGTCAAAAGGGAGCTTAGACGGGAGAAAAGTCTGAACGTCTGGAAGTCCGGATTGTAGGAGCGTTTGCTGTAGGAAAGACAATCGACTCACTATGTACGAAAACATCTTGAAGTTTCCCTTAAACAGGAAAGGGAGACGTGCCCTTTTATGGGTTCATCGTTGATGTCACATGACATGTCTCACAAGCCGCTGATACTCAAACCCAGACCTGACTATTACAGTACTGAAAAGGAGGTATAGGGTGACCTTTGGGTCAGGTTGGTGCAAAGGCATGAGTGACAGGGTAAACAAAAATAAATCATGCCATCCCTGGTTTTTTTTTTTTTGGCCTCAAAGTCTCGCGATCGAACCACCCGTTTTTCCTTTTTCCTTTTACCCTTTTTAATCTGAGTGCCACGACGTTTTATTTCAATCATAATGATCTAATCGATAGTCACCAAAATTGTTTGTGATCTGCTTGATATTGACTGCTTTCACTGTGGAAAGCCAACAAAACCACCAAGTGTAACTAAGCTTGACTCGAGACCAACAAGAAATTTGGTCTTTATTGCACCCACTAAAAACTCCAATATTATTACATTCTTAGATGGGTAACTCCTCCTTTTGCGGTGTCGATAAGAGATCCGATGCCAAACGCCGCTACAAACTATGTTGTGGATAAGCGTAGCGATGCTGATTCTGCGACCAACTATATCGTTGACTAAGGGAGTGAACTCGGCGAGTGAAAACCTGAGAATCCCAAAGCGGGTCCCGGGTCTGTATCTTTAGGAGCATATAGGAGAAAGTTGATTACTTAGAACGCTCTTAAGTTAAGTACCTACTCGAAGGTTGGTAAGGGGCCTATCTCGCTTCAAATACTAGCAGATATAGCACCAGGTGCTAGATAAAGCCAGTTAACGGAAGATATAAGTGGGTAGGCTTCCATAGAACCCATTTGGGTCGAAAGCTCATAACCCAGGTCCAACCCAGACCTAGTGACTAGGGCCGCAGAAAACCCAGTTTGGGCCCATTTTCTATATAAATAGGGGCCTTAGCGGTCATAGACCAGCTAAATAAGCCAAATTATACATATAACTAGCGTGTTTGCATAGTTTGTAATCTAGTTTGGGGCCCCAGACCTACCTAGGACCACCTAGGTAGGTTACCTAGTCAGACCCAGACCTGCGCGACCCAAAACCTAATCCAAACTGGGTTGGGTCTGGGTTTTACCAGATCTTGTGGCAGACTATAAGTGTGGGTGATAGATTTCATAAGCTTAGACAGCCCTGGAGGATGTTTTTGGAAATTGTCCCCTATAATAGGCTAGTACGCCGGAACTAGGGTTTGAAGCGATATAGTAGTGCTAGCTATAGAGGAAGCCCTATTTTGGGAGAGAAATCCTTACCGCGAAGAGACATCACGGATGTTTGACATTACATTGTCTGATGCCTGAACACCTGACCATAGTGCAGTTTGTTCATGCTTTGTCCATACTACAAACTTAGACTCAAACCCCAGTTATTTCCTGCTCCCTTTCTCAATTTTTACCCAACCCTCATCATCTCTCGTTTTCCATCAGACCCCTCAGCTGAAAATTCACGTCCCCAGCTAGCCTCATCAAGAGCCTTTCTTGAGTGAGAGCCTGACAATATGTCGTCCCTGTATCTTTCCGGGAACACATCGGAGACTGGCGAGCATATGAAGCTTGTGAAGGGTGACGCTGATGCCTCCAGAACGTCGGGATTCAAAATCACCCGCTTGGAAGAGGAGCTCATAACGGCACCCCTATTCTCACTCTCCGCTTGTGAGTCTTTGGATACCGACCGCCCGGATAGCCAGCAAACTCTCGACGGAGACCCAACGTACCCGCAGTATGGACTGCTCGGTCTGCGCAATCGACCTAACAGCAACCCACCGGCACAAGACGACCTTGTGTACGCCAACGTGTCAGCACCTTGGTCTGCATTCATCTGCGGCAGTCAAGGAAGTGGCAAGAGTCATACCCTGTCCTGCCTGCTGGAAAATGCATTGATCTCATCCTCCCCTGCCGGGAAGCTATCTTCACCTCTGGCTGGACTGGTTATTCACTATGACAAGTTCACAGCCTTTTCCAGCACCCAGCTGTGCGAGGCGGCCTATCTTCACTCCTCAGGCATTCCTGTCAGGGTTTTGGTCTCCCCGACAAATTACCTTGCCATGAAACAGGCATACATAACACTGGCAGGGGGTTCCAAAATGCTCAAGGTTGAGCCATTGTATCTGCCCCAGAAGGATCTCAACATTAGTATGATGAAGACCCTGATGGGAATCGGTAACAGGATGGAGCAGCCCCTTTACATCGAGGTAGGTCAACATTCCTGTCATCTAGGCTGACAATGTCCTAATAAACCATTCACATAGGTTGTCATGAAGATCCTTCGGGACATGGCTATAGCCAACCAGGGGAAATCAGGCTTCAACTACAGCGCATTCAAACTTCTTCTGCAACGTGAACAATTCCTGAAAGGCCAGCTTATGCCTCTTAACATGCGCTTGGAGGTTCTCGAATCATTCTTTGAGCCTGGATCTGTCCCTGGTGCAAATACAGATAAGTCAAAGCAACACAATGCCGATAATGTCTGGAAGTTTCCTCCTGGCACTTTGACAATAATCGATTTGAGCTGCCCGTTCGTTGGCCAAGAAGATGCATGCGCGCTATTCAACATCGCAGTCTCCTTGTTCTTGAAGAATCGCCATGATACGGGTCGCATCATTGCTCTTGATGAAGCGCACAAGGTTCCTGGACTTCCCCGATTTTTTTGACTCATCTATGTTATTATGCTCACACTTTGTTTGATTATAGTTTATGACTTCAACTTCACCGGAAGCCGCCGATCTGACGGATACACTGCTGTCTGTTGTCCGCCAGCAGCGACATCTAGCCGCGCGAGTGTTGATAGCAACACAGGAGCCGACTCTTGCACCGGCACTGCTTGAGCTTTGCAATGTGACTATTATCCATCGATTCTCATCGCCGGCTTGGTTCAAGGCTATCAAGTCACACATTGCGGGAGCTGGGATTGAGGGACTTGGTCCGAACAACACGGCTTCGTCGACGATCTTTCGCAAAATTGTTCGTCTGCCGACTGGGGAGGCATTGGTATTTTGTCCAACAGCGCTGTTGGACATCGCAAAGCACAACGATCAGGAAGATAAGGAGCTTTCAAGTGATACCTCTTCCAGTCGGCCAGATACTCCTGATGGCCCGTCCTCTGCAGAGAGCACTCAGATTGCGACGACCGACTCGGACTCCCAAGATGAGCCTCCTTTTCATCGCGTCGTTCAGCTCGGAACGTCATATGCCCACATTCGAGTGCGGAATAGGATCACCGTTGACGGTGGTCGCAGCGTGCTCGAGCGTTAATGTCTCCGCTAGGTTGGAGTGCAGATGCAAAGCGCATTTACCGTGCATGAAAATTCCCCGCTATGGGTTGAAGTATCTAAAAGGTGGATTTCTGCGTGCTACCTACAAGTGACAGGTGATCAGAACGGTCTTTCGAATTTTGTGATGTTCATTGTATGCAGGCTTTTTCCTGCATCTACTGTGTACAATAGAAATCCTGATAATTCACAGTCTGTTCGTAAGACGATTAACCTACCATAACTGTACCCTGTTTTCCTTTTAGATTACATTGCACATTCCACGTCATATTTGAGATTTGGTAGAATGCTGACGACGACTCTCGACTCCATATAACCAAACAGAGCCTATTGAGATCAGTAGGTTAGACAAGATGCACTGCAAAGCCAAACGCAGGCCCGACAGTGGTGGAAGTGTCGGAGAACACAAACAGATGCTTGAGACCGAACGGGGACTCTTTGTTACAGTCAAGACAAGAATTTATCCCGACAAGGGACCTGGATATTATTCGTACTATTTTAATATTTCCTAGGAATTGTCCAATGAGTGCTGTTCCGACCTTGTGTGCTTCGTGCAACTCCCTATGTACTCCAAGACCTCCTAGGCAACCATTTTGAAATCTCAGAGCCTTTCTGGAGGCTAGATTGCCTTTTAACTGGTAAATCTAAAATATGGGAAGTCAATTGCCATCTCTATCTTATTTTCGTGGACCGGGAGCTGGGTTGAAATGTGAAACACCTGTTCCCTTGGCTTTTTGTCCTACTTATGCTCATAAGGACCAATACTTCCGGTGTGCTTAGACCTTTCGGAGTTATTGTCCAACATTTAATAAGTTATGGAGTGTAATAAAAGCCAATGATCATAAAATAGTTGGATCGAATAAGCTGTCGGTGTGTCCATGGCCCCAGCCGTGGAAGAATATATATTTTCATATAAGCTTAATTGATATATGATAATTGATCCAAATGGAAGCTCTGGGGTATTTTTATAGCCACAGAATTGTTGCACTATAGACAAAGAACGCTTTAAAAGAGCTAGTTATCTCATAAACCTCTGGCATTCGGCATCGAGTCTAAACGGGCCGCAGTCATCCTAGGGGTCCCGTGCCCTAGGCAATTACTATGATTGCGCCGAGTATATTAACAGGTAATGTATCATAAAATCTATCTTTTCATTGCGATACGCACAGGAACTATGACGCGCGGCTGGTCGAAATCGGAGACGTTGTACATCATGGATTGAGTCGATGGAAAATTTCCATCTGGGCTGAAAATGAAGTTGCAAGCTACAGGATCAACAGTTCTTCCTCTGAATCCCTTTTGACTACAGCACAGTAGTGAATTTACATCACGGGGACTAGAGAACTTGGTCTCGCCTAACTATTTTGTACTCCGACACACATCTGGGAGCACGAGGCGCGATGGATCAAGGCACCACGGCAATCGGCCCAAAAATAAAGATGGCCATTGAAATTTGAGAAGGCCCTGTGAGAGATACAGCCTCCTGCAACTGTCATAGGGACTATAAAATATCAAGTTCCCGTCTTATATCGCCCCTGACTTTGATTTCCTACAACCTCAGGAATATTATATCGTGGCCCGACCCTCGAAGGTTGACAACTATCTCCTCGAATTACTTCACCTGATATTGATTACCGAAGTCAATCAACATGCGGATTAACATTATCTCTCTAGTGGCTCTGGCTGCTACAGCTGCAGGTATGGCACTTTGTCCAGGGGAATACGACTAAGTCTAATAACCGTTAAATTAGGTCTCACTGTCACCTCCCCACGGATGGGTGAGAAGATTGATCCCGATATGCCCCTTACTATCAAGTGGCAGGCTGTCTCGTAAGTTACTAGTCTGACACGCTTAGCAACATTTAGAAAAACTGACGATTTGCTAACTAAATCCAAAATATCAATAGGACCGACCCAGAGACCTTTAGCATCGAACTGGTCAATCAGAATGTCTACCCTCCGACAACAACGATTGTGGCACAAGATATAGACTCTTCTAAGGGCTCCTACACTGTCAACGCAAAGACTTTCACAGATGTGGATGATGGGTAGGTCCAATTCGATTGCATTGCCTTTTGAGCTACTGACTTGATAATCAATCTAGAAAGGGATATCAGATCAACTTCCTCTCTCCGACCAGTGGCATTCTGGCTCAGTCTCAGCAATTCAAAGTCACTGAGCCTGGTGATATTGCTAGTGCTAGTGCTAGTAGCTCTGGTAAGGAAACCAGCTCTGCGCTTGAAACTTCGTCTGCCTTGCTTTCTTCCACCGCGTCGACTAGTGATCTCACTTCTTCGATTCCTTCTTCCTCGACTGCTTCCTCTTACCTGTCTTCGACTACTCACTCCTCCATCAGTGCGTCTACCCCTACCTCGTTCTATTATTCTACTGCTTCATCTTCTATTTCTACCCCTACAACATCTTCTTCTATAAGCTCGTCTGCAAGTGCGTCTACCTCTTCCATTTTCTCCTCTCTCGCTTCAGCCTCCACCTCCACACCTGAAGGATCCTCTTATTCCCTTTTAACTTCCTCAACCCTGGCATCTACAACTTCTTACACTACGACCCTGTCTTCTACCATGACGCTTACCACTCCTCGTTCTTCCTCAGTCTCTTCTACACCTACACTAGCAACTTCCTTCTCAGTATCTGCTATATCTAGCCCTTCAACTTCATCTTTCATTACAGCAACTTCATCCTCTATTATATCCACCTCTGCTACCCCGATTACTTCTTCTTCCATTACCGCGTCTTCTATCTCACCTACTACATCCACCCATCTTTCTACCTCGACTTTCACATCAAGCACTATTTCCTCTACCATGTCTCCTTCTACCCACATATCCACTACCCCTGGTTAGTAAAGGCTGGCTTCCGAGACAGCATTTTGCTTTTCACCCACTACATTAAGGAAACAGAGACTAACTATATCCATAGAATTGACCTCAGCTTCAATGACTTCATCGACCAGCATGTCTACCGCAACCCATTTGAGCACTACTTCGACCACCACTCGCAAGTCGACTTCAACTACAACCTCCAGTGCCACGGAGTCTGCCAGTACAACTACAAACGCTGCTGCCATCCTCATGCCCCCTGCTGGTAGTGTTCTCCTCGGTCTGTTGGCTCTGGTCCTTTGAATCCCGATATCGGTCATTCGTGATTCGGCTCTCGGCAACTGTCCAGTTGGACATTGGATATATGAGTTGGAGATAGTTTCGGGTATCTGTGGTAGTTCCTTTCGATAAAGTCTACTATCTGTTGAAGCCATTGTGGAAGTGGGGTTATTTGACTAGTGATGATTTATTGTGTTTGACGATGTTGATGTTGATGGTTTGGTCTATGGACTTATGATATGCCCCTTACATTAATGAGAAATGCGATAATGCTATATCTTTTATATTTTTGGGACTATAAATGCATTCAGGCAATGAAATTATGCTCACTTATTCCGCCGCGAAATCTTCTCCAGGACTGACCTGACAATATCCTTCACAGGCCCATGCTCTCCTCCAATTTGGTCGATCCGCTTCTCAAGATTGTCCAACTCAGTCATCTCAAAGTCCATGAATGCGCCCTCATATCTACCTGACAAAAGACATCCTTCGCCCTGGCTTCTTTCCCAATGTCCGGCCTTCCGTAGCAGAGGCTGAGCATAGCCTTCTGCTCGGAGCTAGAGAGCTCAAAGGCCGTCAGGGCTATCCACGAGGATTTGTTGTCTCGAATGTCCGTTCCAACCTTTCCCGTAGCCTTCGATTCCCGAACACATCAAGGTAATCGTCCTGGACTTGGAAATACCATCCCATGCCAAGCAGAACTTCCCGCGCAATTTCCATATTCTGCCCAGTCGCGCACTGGAGGTACCGCAGGGCCAGCGCGACGGGGAGATAGAAGCTATAGAATGCAGCCTTATTCTCCGCTGTGAATTCATACCGCTCCATTGTCATCTCAGCAAGACTGCATTTATTGCTAGTCGTCATATCAGCGAGTTGGCCCAGCTCCGTTCGTAACGCAGCCTCGTGAAATAGCTCCACCAGCTGACCGTAGTCCGGATGATCCCCGAAATACTGGCGCAGGAGCACCATGATGGACGACTTGATGAGACACGCATCGTTAACGGCACTGAGCCCGACACCGTCCCGGCGGTACTGGATGCATCCATGATATCGTCCCAGATCAAGTACGCGGCCTGAAAGAACTTGGTCAGCCAAGCGAGAATACTTAGATGACGAATTTCGATCACGGTCAAGGGGCGGGGTAGTAGGAGATGGCCGGTGTCGAGGACGATAAAAGACATGCAAGCCACATTCGCAGCTAAAGACGACGGCAGCATCCCGCTGAACGAGTTTTTCCGGGGCGACCTGGTCTTTATCGTGATGAACTCCCTCACGGGCATTGTCGGCAACTGGAACCAGTCAGACTAGTCCGCGCCCACAGGCTTCCAGTCAACTCTCATTCACCGTCGTCACACAGAATGCCGCCGTTGGCAGCATCATAAACCCTGGAATCATCACTAGCGTCGGCTACATTTCACGTAAAGGGGCCGACCTAGCCCAGCATGTCAGCAACACCGTCGGGTCCCTCCTGCTCTACGAGATGGCATCAACCAAGTCTCATCAGAGGTAAGTCCAAATCGCACAGCTATAACAGGCGAGGCGCGGGTTCCCGTATGTGTGTAGTTTCGTTCGGGTGTAAACATTCTTTAACTAAAGGTCATTATCAGAATCAAGAACACGCATCGAGTGTCAGACATTATCGGGAAAATATGTATAGATTGGTAAAGTAATATTGACATGAAAAGATATCATAGGTGTTAAAAGAAGAAAAAAATAGCCACGCTGAAAACTGACCGCCCCGATTGGTAACCTCCAGGGCTTCCAATATTGCTGAATCGATTTTGATTACCTGGTACATCAAGTACGGAGTTTCGAGTCATCCTGTACCAGAAAAGTATACGGTAAGCCCTCAAATGGAGCATCATGACTTGACGACGCTGTCGCTGGGTCGATGCCAAGTGCGGATATGGCCTGTGTCAAAATGTTAGTATTATTCGGTCTCGAAAACCTCGTTATACACACCTTCAAGGGAGGAAGTCATGATGCAATCTTTCTGGAAGCCAAGCCAGCAGGTGGGATCTTCGCCAACGATTTTGGACTACGGAGCAGTTAGTTTTCTGAAGCTGTAAATCTGGGCATGAATCAATGCTTACCATGATCGGGGGCAAAAGAGCTGTTCGAGACCTCGGTTCCACGGGGTGACTCATCTGTTCGATATCTTCGCTGGACTTAGCGGTTCCATTAGAGTCTGAGCGCATACGGTTGTCACCGCTGTCTGCACGGTGGCGGTTGGCAGTTTGCGAATTTGGCACTACAATGCTAGATCGATTTCGAGTTGAAGCTTGATGTGCCCGAGGGCGATGGAGCATGCCAACGCTGAAATCCCACAAGAGGAGGCGGCAGTCGTCGCCGACGCTGCCGAACCGGTATGTCTTCTGGTCACAACGCCAGGGGTCGAATGCTACACACGAAACCCAGGAGTTGTGTCCTTGGCATCTGGCGACAACCTTGCGCTCGGGGAAAGACCAAATCGTCAGCAAGTCATCCTGGCCTCCGGTTACGATGTATTTGCCATCCGGCGACCAGCAGACACAGATCAGGCCCCCATAGTAGCTGCGGAATATATCCAGGACCCTAGAAATTGTTAGATGGGAATTGTTCGGTTCTCTCAACATAGGCCTAACTTACTCCTCTTTCAAGTAATCCATGAGCCGCAACGACCCATCTTCAAGAACCACGGCCAGATGCCTTTGATCCGGCGAAAAGGAGAAGCTTGAAATTTTCTGGTTCGCCATTTTCCAAAATGAGACCGGGTTGGTCTTCTGGTTTTTGGAGTTCACAGACTTGAGGATTTCCAATGGTAATCGTCCGACCTCTTGTTCGGAATGGCCGTTCGCCTCGGGAGTGAAAAGGGCATCCTCCTTCTCCTTGTCGTACACGACCAGCACACCGTTCGCATGGGATGCTATGAACAGGTTCTCAGACCCAGGAAGCCATTTTATGTGAGTGACGGGGGAGGAGTTAATCACGCCATTTTTGTTGATCCGAGCGTACTTCTGCGACATGGGCTCATACCAAATAATGTCGCCTGCAGAAGATCCCATCACAATGTCCAAATGCGATGATGTCTTGGTGACTTCGTTTATATCGTGACAGAGCATGTGCGCCTTGGTGAAAAGCACCTTCGTAAGATGCTCCTCCTTTGTAGGCGAACTAAGGTCGAGCCATTGGAATGCTCGGTTGATATTCGCAAAGGCAAAAACACCGTTCCAGTCACGATCCCCCAATCGCTTGGCAGATGTCTCGTGTGTGATGACTCGGGACACGAATGAAGAACTGCTCTTGATGATGTTGTTCTTGGGCTTCCTTCGCTTCGATGCGTCCTTTGCTGCGACAGGTGGTGCCGCAAGTGCGGGGTTTCCGTCCCCGAATTGGGGAGCTGTAACAACCGACTTCAAGAAAGTCGGAGGCTTCTTTCGAGCGTCAAGGGTAACAAGAGATAGCTTTACGCCGGTGGTCGGGGGTGTGGGTAGCGTCGCAAGAGGGTTCGGGTTTATGATAGGAGCTTCGGATGGGTGGGGAGGCGGTGTTGCGAGGAGAAGATCATCCTGGAGGATGTACGTTCCTGTCGCAATATAAAACGTAAGCTATCTCGGAGATCTTGAAGCAATCGATATATATAGGGACATCAGCGATCGCTGCGCACACATACCCTCGCCAACTTGCAATGGACACCCATTCTCCGGGTGGGTAATAGTATTATTCGTTTCCACAACAGGGACTGCCATACCATTCGCCGCCCCCGCCGCATAGGCGACAGGGATGGTATAGCGCGGAGGGGGGGGGGGAGGACGCTGCTGCTTGTGTCAGCAAATGAAGTGATTATCTGGTACCTGAGAGCAATGCAATTCTCTCAAATTACGTTGGTGATGAGAACACAAGGCTCATATTAAAAAGAGTAAGTGGGAAAGCAGAGAAAGTGTGTGCTTACAACATGATTAGTCGTCACTCGTACAGGCGCAATTTGAACTCGGGCTGAGATCTGGTGTGACCAACAGCGCAACCTTGGATCCCGATAAGGCAAATGCGCAAACTTTGCTGTACTTTATGCAATCTTTCCTCTTCCAGTCTTCCAAGGTTATATACCGATACCCCCAAGCTCTTATGTGCTGGAAATGGTGATGGACAGGTTGCAGAATATGGTCGGGGGCGACAGCGAGTAGAGGTGCGCAATAAGCCCGATAAGCACAGATGTATATATGTATGTACTTGATATGATGTATATAACGATATCAGGGTTCGAGGTTTGGAGGTTAGAGGTTGGATTCGAACAAGTCGAGACGCGAGGAGAGGATCAGCAAGGGAAATGATGTCCGGGGTAACGTTCGAGCGGAGAACAAACCGCGTGCCTGGCGGGGACCCGGCTTAACTCCGGCTGAGCCGATGTGCCTGACTAAGTATCGTACTCGATTGAGATAATTCCGTAGATGTATTGAGATCATTTTACATTTATTTGCACATTAAATTAACTGGGGTATGGTACAGAACATGAAGAAGACCTTAATTGCCGCTCCCAACTCGTCGCCATATCATCACTGCGGCAGCACCTGCACAAACCACCGCTCCAAGGGCAATTCCCCACGACATCCATTTACCCTCCACATCCTCTTCACTGCGCGGGAAAGCGGTGCTGGGCTCCATGGCAGCCTCGGCAATATGGACAAACACCTCCTGGATGGAACTCCACGTTACACTCACATGGAGCGGCGGACTAGGCATGTTCAGCATAGCCGTGTATTCATGAGGTTGGTGCTCGGCTCGCTGCGTCGTCCGATCTAAATCGGCCTTAAGGGCAATGAACACACTCGGGAGCTCCTCCAGGTGAGGATATTTCGCCAACAATGCAGGGATGTACGAAAATGAGTCCGGATCCGAGGAATCGTATGTGTACGCAATCACGTCGCACTGATCCAGCAGTTTGGACTGGTTCTCCAGCAAAGCGGGCTCCAGCTCCCCAAGTTCATCCAAAATCAGGTAGCACTGTTTCCCTCCCGGAAGCTCCACCGTGTTCACTGCGGTGCGTGGTTGGATGGTAGGGTGGTAGGTAGTGCTAAATCCGCGGGAAAGAAGTGCATCGAGCAGGGCCGATTTTCCAGATCCAGGGGCTCCCAGAACATGGCATTGGACAACATTTCGTCCAACACGGCCCGGGCGGCGACGTTTTCTTCGTGGGCGTGTAACCTTCAACGCGGCAGTAATAGATTGATCGCTTTGGTCAGAGGGCTCAAAGCCCAGGTATGCCAAGTATTCGAGGGTAGTTTTGGGAGACAGGAAAGTAGTCATACTCCACTGAGCAAGCCATCCTTGCAGTGTTACATGCCCTGCCTCATTGCGGACTGTGGATGATGGGAACGAACTGTCCACCCATGACGCAGGCAAGCCCGGGGTAGGGGCAAACAAGGATGCAAGTTCGGCTTCATTCAATCCCCCGTCATTATCCTTATCAGATAGAAGAAAGAGATTCACAAAGAATCGATAGCCTTCGGGTGATAGTTCGGCAGAAGCGTACGGCGGTACTTCGAACTTCGGGTGTAGGAATTTCTCTTGCAGGGAGAGATTATCCGTGTACTGGAACGCCCGCAAGATGATCCAGACTGTTTCATGTCGCCCTTTCTCCGAATACAATTTGTTCAGATGAATGAACCCTTTGCAGTCAATGCCTGACTCCGTAACTGAGTCCGGATAGGCTTTTTGAATGGTGTCTTTGATGTGATTGAGATCCGCTTCGTTCAACGGTTTGGAAAAGCACCGGATTTGGAAATCCTTGAGCTCCTTATCTGATAGATACCCATCGCGATCTTTGTCACAGAGATAGAATATCCTTTGTAAAGCTGCCACCGCAGCGGGCTTCAAAGCCGCCTCCTTGGAATCGAACAGTGGCGCGATCGGGTGCGTGACAGCCTTTTGGCAAACGAAGAAGGCTTCGTTAACATTACGGTGCTCCCGGGCACTCGTACGTATACAAGAGTCAATTTCCTTAAACTCTGCCATCAAAGGAAGCATCTCCTCCTCAACCACTCGCGTCTCACTATGACCAGTCGCCAGGTCGGACTTGTTGGCACAAAGGACTACCGGGACATTGACGCCCAACGAGCGGAAGTATGGCAACCAGAACAGAGCTACCCGTTCATAGCTGTAGTGGTCGGAATATACGAGGAGAATCACGTTGCACTTCCGTATCTCTCGCGCGAGATTGTTCCGTTCCTGGGGAAGGGCCGAGGTGTCGACGACGGTCGTGGTGGTGACATTTTCAGGGGTCCCGAGGGTAGGAGGGATGGTAATTTTGGGGAGGACTGGTTGGATTTTGTTCGTAACAAACACACCTTTGACGAGCGAGGTGATGAGACTGGACTTGCCAGTGCCCTCGTCGCCGCAAACGCAGATGCGAACTGGACGAATTGGCCTGTCAGCGGTTTTTCTGGGGGTGGGACACATAGATAACATACCTGATGCCATTTTCGCGTCTAGCGAGTCAGATATTGATCATAATCTCACCATGACCTTGCACTCACGAAGTGTATGGAGGTGGACAAGTTCCGAGGTTCCCAAGGTTGATTCCGGATGAGACAATCGCGATGCGATA